TTCCCTGTGACAGCGTGTATTAGCTAAGTGATCTTTGAAGGTCCCTTCCAACCCAAAACGTTCCATGATTGAATCAAGTGAATTTGCAGGGAATTTACATTCTTAGGATGTGGCTCTTTTAGTTGAGAAAAATAAGATGTTTTAGTGGGAAATAGGGACATCAGAAGGCAGAAATAGTTTAACAGTTTTAGCCACATGGTGGGAGAGATCCTTTCAAAAATGGGAGAAGGCTCTTGTTGACCTGATGTGTATAAAAGCTGCTTGGTCTGAGTGTGCAATCAGGGTTTGAAACAGTGGCTCCCATGCTGAATATCAGTGTTTCAGCCTGTTTGCTGAAGGGCAGGCAGGGTTATTTGGAGGTGGAATAGTTAATGTAACAGGTTATTTTTTCTATAAGTACCACACTGAATTTTGCTGAGAAAATATTAAATGTGTGGTAACAGTGGGTAGTGCATGTGACCCAAGTATAAAAGGAAAAATTGATGCATCTATAGTAGTATAACACTGTTCTCATTATTCTTGTACAGAGGCACATATTTTGGCTGAGATCCAATACATGGAATTGCAAGTGATGTTTGACCTGCTGGCAGATTTTATTTTTCCATTTAAAAACTTCGGCTAACTTGATTTCCTGATATATATTTTTTTTTGGTCTGCTTTGTTAAAGTAATTCCATAAGTGTTAATATTTCACCAAATTTATAACCAAAACCATAATTATCAACAAATGTTTCAATTTCTTTTCTGAGCTTTAACAGGGAAAAGATGACAACCTTATGGCTTTTTTTGGAACAGATTTTTCACAAAGTCATTTAATTGTAATGTGTTTAAACGAATTAAGTTCTGGTTAATAAGTAAATGAATATTGAAAATTAATGAATACAAATTGCTTGATGTACCAAAATAGTTTGAGTTTCTGTGTTGGTATTGGGAGTAGGTCCTGGTATGGTCAACAGAGTTGGACTTATTTCTAAGTAGTAAGATCGGCTATCTGTTATCTCTCTTGGTTAAAGAGTATAAGAACAAAAAGCTTGAAACTGCAGAGATTCTGTTATTTTTGAATTAAAAAGAGTATGTTGTAATTAATGGATTAAAAGCTGTTTTACTCTGTTGTGCTGGCAGCTATTTGAGAGTGTCTGTCTAGCTCTCATAACTGGGACAAGTGTAAAGTATTAATAATACTCAAGTACTTCAGAATCAGCTTGTTGCATATTGAAGTACCACTGCAACAAACAGAGCACCATTTTAATTAGTTTATGATAGTCTGGGTTGCAGGCATGCATTCTAAATGTACAGGATATTCACTGCTTTTTCATGCATTGTTACCAAAAGAAGTGAGTAAGTGGGCTATTTAGTTGTTGAAACTAGCAGTTATCAGTCTCTCTCACTCAAGAAGAGTTGTGTTGAAATATTAGCCACTTCTAAAGTGCTCTGGTTAACGAGGAAAGTTAATGCACATGCTGGCTCTAGCTAGTGCTAAGATTGCTTAGAAAAAAATTGACTCTTTTTTAGTAGTATGAAATCTTATGGTAATTAAGCTGAAGTAGCTACATTTGTTGATAGTTACCAGATGCTTACCATCTGACAGTTTCAAACTCTCAAAACTGGTAGGTATTTGCTATCCAAACTTCAGATATAGGAAAATAGCAGTTAAAATCAGTTCCTCAGGCTTGTCAAATTTGGGACTTGTTTCATTAATGCATTGAGATTATTGCAGGCCTCATTGCTGGTATAAGTCCTGGGTTATCTTTTTAACTTTTTACTTAGAATGTAGGAATTGCATGGCACATTTGTATTTTTATCTCTCAATTTTGTCTTGCTTCTTTTGTGCCTCAAGGAGGGGAAGTTAGTCCTCTATTTCTAGTTTACCTTTTTTTTTTTTTTTGGTGGTATTGTAGTTTGCAGATTAGTGAAGCTGACCTTGAAGTAAAAACAAAAAAGAACGTGTCTCTGTTCTCTCAGATGTTTTGTTTACATGATCTTTAAATAACTTAGGTAAAAATCAGGTAAAAACTGCCCTCTAAAATCCACATCTGCTCTTGGATGAACAGAACCTGCACTATGCCCAAGTTTCCAGAGTCTGGAAATCAGTCCAGCCTTACGTTTGTTGCAGATGGTTTTCTCTTATGACAGGATTGCATTTTCTGGAAAGAGTCCTTTTTAAAAAGGCCACCCATTTTGCTGTCACAGTTGAATGTGAATTTAGAATAGGTGCATCTTCCATGCTGTTGTTTGGCATGTCACTGTCTGACCAAAGGAAAAGCTTGCCCTGATCTGCTTTGACCACAAGGCTGCCTTTAAGTACTTTCCTGTTTCCTTGTCCTGTTGCCTGTGAAACTTGTATTTCTAGAGGTTTGTGTGATGTATAAACTTGAACTGTGTTGGAAACCTGTACAGCTCATAAGTCGCAAAGTGACTAAAAAATTGGTAGATCAGTGTGTTTCATTTCCACAGCCATTATAGGGTTGTCCCTGATTTCTGGGCGAAGTGTATGGCAAATTACCTTATCTTTCAAACGTATAGTCAGGATCTTAAAAGAGGAATGGAGCTGTCTGCTCTCAGTTATGAACCTTAAATCCTTACCAGCCAAACAGTATGTGCTTGTAACAAGTCCAGTGTCTTTAATGAACAAAGTGGGACATGGCATGAGGATGGCTGGAACTGCAGGTGTCTGATGTCAGTGCCATGAATCCAAATGGAAAGACAGAGAGATGCCATGGCTCTCCGAGAGCTGTGGACGTTGCCAACAGAGAGGTCTTGGACCAAAAGGCTGATTGCCCCCTATGTCACTTTAAGCAATGGCACAGTTTGAGGAATCAATGTCTCCTGATGTTTATCACTGCTAGGAAGATGCAATCGAACATCCACATGGAAAAACTCCATAATGGATTTTGTGACTGTCACTAGTGTTGTCCTGTAATCCAGTAATGTGATCTGCACACAGTCCTATTCTTCAGGGTCTTTTCTCCCTTTCCTTCCTACTCATGTATTTGAAAAGTGCTTTAGAAAGCGCCATTTTATTTGTTCCTGTCCCTCAATCATTGCACTAGTAATAAAAAACTGCATTAGTTTGATGTAGGCTGTTCTTCAGATTTAGGTCTCTCATCACAGCTGCTTGGACTGTTAATCCATGGGATATGTATGCAGCAGGGATACCTCACACTTTCCTCCCTCAAGCCCCTTCTTGTCAGTGTAAACCCTCCTCTGAATGGTTAAATGTAGGGCGATGAACACTTGTATTTGTGTCCCATACGATGAAGATATAATTTGATTTTTTTAAACTGGTGTCCCTTGGAAATTGGATAGCAACTTTATAAGAGTGTTAGCTTCAAAGAGGGTTTGATTTGTTTTTATCAATCTTAAAATTTAATTTACTTTATCTCCTGGATTGTGGTAGCACTTAAGAGGAATTACTATAGATAAAGTTAGAATTTACTTTTCTGTTAGGACTGGTGAAAGATTTTTTTTTTACCTTTATGAGATTTCGGTTTGGGGATCTTGGAGTTTTTTGGCTTTGGTTTTTGGTATAGTTTCTTATTATTGTTTTGCTTGATTTGGTTTTTTGGGTTGTTTTTTTTTGAGGAGGGAAAGAGTGTTGTAGGCATGTAGTTGCATTACATCACATGTAATTTTACAGCTTCATCCGGAGATTTGTTACCAGTGGCTCAGTATCATGGCTTTATTGTGAGGGTAGTACCTCCACATGCTCTTGTCTGCAGAACTCTTAAAGATATAAAGTAAAGAGATTGCTGCAGTTGATGTCATCTACTTGGATACTGCAGTAAAAGGGTAGAATCTGTTTTGTACTGGAGTGAATTTACCAGCTTTTTGCTAAGAGAGATTATGAGAAATCTGAGCTGTGTAGCAGTGGTTGAACACTTACATAGACAGGAAGCTTTGTTATGAGAAGCTTAACTTTTGTTTTGTCTTAGCAACAGGCACTGTTGACTTCTATTTTTGCTGTTTGAAGTTATATATACAGAGACCTGATGTTTCACTTGCACTGAAACAAGTAGGTACAGTGAAAACTGAAAATGCTGTCTACATTTTGAACACCTGTGACCATTCGAAATCAATCACTTGAATCAAAGTGATTTTTACTTTTTTTCTTTACTGTAAAATCTGTCATTTGTGAATGTAATGTAGGCAGGAAAGTTTTTTTGACTTTTTCAGCCTTTTGTTTTCAGTTCAACCTTCGGTTTTCAGACTGAATGGTGCATCCTTAATAGTGTGTAGACTATACAGTGTGTATTAGCAGGTAATACGGAAATTGCAAGATCAGGTCTCTCTTTGAAAATCATAGATGTACTGATTTGATTATGGTGGATAACTTGAGGCATTTTGGTTTCTTTTCACCCATAAGTTATTAATTTTTAATTTATCTGAATTTTAGGTGGAAGTTACATCAGAGGATTTACATGGTCTGGAATCTCAACATGTTTCTACCCCGAATTCAGTAATATAGCAGCAAGAGTCCAGTTCTTCTTGCCAAATAGTTAAATTGGTTTTTAGTTATCATGAATAAAGCAATTACAGGTATCATTAGTGGTAGGATACTTGACAACTTGTCTAGTCAGATTTCCTTCAAAAGAAAAGGAATGAAGATGCAAACTCAAGGGAAAGTAGAAGAAACATTGGAATTGTAGCAAAAAAAACACCCCAACTTCCCAGAAGCTCTTCATGAGTCAGGCTTTGTAATAATTTTTTTGTTCTCTTCTGTTGATGAGACTCTCCCTTTGGCATTGCACTCTTGCACCAAGTCATACTTTTCTGTATTCTCCTTGTCTGGCAGCACAACTAAATGTCATTCAGGTCTAAGTGATGACGTACCCAATGAATTGCCTTGGTCACCTCTGTCTCTTCAAGCCATTCTCCAGCTCATCACCTCTCTGTGCTAGTTGTTGCTGTCATCAGTTTTTCCTTGCCACTTCTGTTTCTGCATCTTTGTGGTGTTGTTTAGTGTTGTGGTTGTTTCCCTGTCCCCAGTCCCCTTCTGTCCTCTGCCCTCATCCTGGGCTCTTGCTGTGCTGTGTTCATCTGACTGGCTCATCTTAAGAATGCTGACTTGCTGCCTCAGTGATGCTAAGTAAAAAATTATACAGATGGATAGAAAAGAGTTCACATCGGGATGCTTCAGTTCCTTAAAACTTTTAGGTACTTGCAGCCCTGATCTTCTCTGTAGAGAGTTGGCCAGAACCAAGAATGAGGGAGTGAGGCTAGGGAGGTTAACATTTACAGAGGAGAGCTTGTAGGTGGCTGTAATAGCACTCTGTAGTACTGTGCAACAAACTGGTTCCTCTAGAGCAAGAAAGGTGTTGAAAAAGTATTTTTGTCCTGTCAATTTACAAAGTGCAGTAAAGTATCAGGCCAAAATCTGTGCCACCATGTGCTGTTACCACCAATGCCCTTCAGCATCTTGTTCTAGAGTCTGTAGATCAAAGGGAACAGTGGTAGGGCTGCACTTATCCATCATCTGATTTGGAATAAAGCTTTGGAAGCAGTCCAGATTTCAAATTAAATTTCAAAATGGGTGGAACAAAAATAAGCAAACTTTTACTGCACAATGTAATTAATGTTCAGATAATACCCAGAATTATAGTAACAACACGAGTAACCACCTAACTTGATGCAAATACTGCTTTCCCAGCCAGGACAACAGCAACAGCAACATGCTTGTAAAAGTGGTCCCTGACTAGCCTGTCAAATCTGGTTAGTCTTAAGGCACTATTTTAATTAAACCTTCTTTGAGAAGGGGGTGATGAAGTCTGGCTGGCAGCTTGTTCTTGTGTTCCTGTGTGTGGTGCTTAACAGTTTTGTTTGCTGACAAGTGCCTTGAAGTAATAGTAACTGTCTTAATAAGTGCATACTCAGAGTGCGTCAGCAAGACCTGTGTGATATCAACTTAAATGCTATGTGAATCTAAAGTGACTGGCTTTGGAAATGATCCATTTAATGACTAGCTTGCTGCTGATGTGCCTTAGCTAGTTCTGTGTTTAATTAAGGTGTTGCCTATGGCAGAGGAATTATTTTTCCACTGAATCTTGAAGTTAATGCAGACACAAGGTCAGCATTAGGATTTTATTACAGGATTGGCAGCAAAAACAAGATACATATACCTTATGTGGGATGATGCTGAGACTATGCAGCTCCAGAGTGATGGGCTACTGCAAAACTCCTTGGAAGCTGGATGGGCAGTTTTGGCTTGTTGGGATTTATACTCATTGACACTCATGTCCCTGGAGCAGTAACCTGTAGTAACTGGTGCTGCCTTGAGCAAACCTCCTTATCAACTTAAGTTGGCAAAGTGAGGAGGTTACTTTCTCTAATCAGAAGTTTTTTAAATCCTCTAAAAAGGGAATTGCTTTTCAGTATGGTAGTATAGTAGTAACTAGTAAAAGGAGCTTTGAGAAATTAAAGTAAATGTGTAGAGGCTTTGTCCTAAGTTCAGTGGAGAGTGGGCAGTACTTGTATGCAGTGCCACATTGTCTCCAGACAGAGGACTGGTTAGAATGTGAAGGCTGTATGATTTTACATGTCACCTGACATTTGCACTAAAACCAAATCCAGTTGATGACTTAATTGCTGCTCTCACACAGAGGAACTACGAACACAGCAGCTTGTCTGGAAGTGAAACCTGGGTCTGAAAGTGCAGCTGTTTCATTTGCTGTTGTCTGCCGTCTGCGCACTGGGACTGGTAAGGCTTGTTCAGCTCCAGTGGTTGACATGCAGCTCTGCTGGGTAGTCAGGTGGCTTTGCCCTTGACATCCTTCCTTGGATGGCAGGCTCAGCACTGTTACACCTCCTTTTCTTTCCGTCTTTGAAGCCTTAATGTTTTGTTTGTTTCTGAGAACCAGGTGCCAGAACCAGTTTCTGGCTCAGTGGAATAGTTTCAGATATAATTGCACTGCTGAGAGAGGTTGGTGAGTTCTGAAAAGAACCTGACAAACATTGAGCAGGATGACACACAGTTTTTATGTGCAGTGTGCACCTGGACTTGCCCAGCATGACTCACTTGCCCATGGCCCAGCATCTGCCCACTGTGTTTCACAAAGTCTGGTTGCACGTGGGTGATCTTCGTACAGCATTGGCTTTTGCTTTGTGTAGGATTCCCGTTATCCAGGGCTGGTTCATCTGTTGATTTCAACATAATGTTGAAAGGCATCTTTGCACTGCAAAAGGGACTTTACTTGAAACTTGTCCCCAGTCCTGTCAGCAGCAGCAAGGAGGAAATAGCTAAGCTGTGTAATCCTAACCTTCCTTTAATATGTAATGTTTGCAGTTGGAATCTGCAATGGAACAGTGAGCCCAAAAGTCCTTGACTGGGGAATGATGGCCGTGAATGTTAAATCTGCCTCATGTTGTGCTCTGCTGCCTGTGGGGATGTACCAGAGGCCTCCATGGTTTTGAAGACCAGCTGTTGGGCATTTCAGTCTGTGAGCCAGAGAACTTCAGAGACAAAGGGCAACTCTGAGTTTTTGTCATGCACTTACAGATGATTTCAGTTACTCTAGGAATTATGTTGTGGTGTCCTGAGATAGACCTTGTGATGTACTTCTAATCTAGCAAAAACTCCATGTTATTGAGTATAAGCATCCTGGGGCAGAGTTTTAGCTGACAGCTAATTCTATCTTGAACAACTCTTCTTGCGAGGCAGGCCTACTCTCTGTTAGAAGCTGGCTAGGCGCTTCTGTGTTTAACATCTTGGCCATGTAGGATTCACATCCAAATTTTAAAAGTTGTTCCTGAATGTTATGGGCAGTGGATGGGGCCTGTTCTCATTGGTTTGTTGTGTGTATCCAACATATCTTCCTCATAGTACCATTTATTTTATACCTGTTTTATGCATTGCCCAGTGTGTCTAGATGAGTGCCATGATGGCTAGCTGGCTGCATACCCATTAAGATAGTATCCCTTTTTTAGAGCAGCAGGGATTAAACAGAAGAGGATCAGTGTGGTATTTCAGTAGGAAGAGCTATTCTTAATGCCAGGGAAGGCAGGGTGTGTTTCATGAGGCTGGGACAGAGTGGCCTCTGAGTGCTGTGATCTGTAACTGTCTTCCTGATCACCCTGGTTCTGTCTTGGGTCTTGGCTGTTTACTGTTTTGGCTTTTAGGTTGAGGCTTTTTGTTTGGTTTTTTTTTTTCAATTGGCAGACCCTGGGCTAAGTTATTTGTCTGCTCAATTGGTTTCAAGGCTAAAAAATATGCTTGCTTATCTGTCTTGGGAACAGGCCCATCAGGTGTCTGCAGTGTGTTCCATAAGATAGAGATAAGGCTCTGGAACTGCATAGACACATTCTGTGCTACATGTACAAACTTGTTCAAGCTGTTTTAAAATGTTTTTCAGGTTCTAAATGGCTTCTAAGAAGTTGGGATCCGATTCTCATGGTAAGTGAAATTTGGCATCCTTGTTTTTTCAACAGGGTGAATCCTGCTATTGCTGCTGACTAATGTCCTAGCCTAGACCATCCATAGAGACTAATCTGTTTAGCCTCTGAGTAGTTTTTTATTAGGAATGAAGTGCCTTGGCTTCCTTCTTGCATAGTTGCTTGCTGATGATGTGTTCGCCTGTTCTCTGATTAAACTGAAAAGCAGTCTCTGGCTATTCCCTGTTCATTCATGGCAGAATAACACGTTCCCCTTCCCCAGCAAATTACACTTCAAAATCAAACCTGCTCTGGTGTTTGCTGAAGTGGATACTGGATCTGTGGCATCTTCTTATGGAAGTCACATGAGAAATTGAATTGATAGTGAAGCTTTTAATACAGCATTGAATTGTGCTTTGTTTTTGCTCTTCCATGAATTTGTCTCCTAAATTGGACTAACCTGGTTCAGAAGGCAGGTGAAGAAGAGACTCTATTGTTCTGTCTTCTACAGATGAGATTCATGAAGTCCATGCAAGTGATTGATATCATAAAAGTTATTTGCCTGTAATGTCCTTATTTTTTAGAGAAGGAAGTGCAATTTGATTATAATTAATATTGCTGTGGAAGATTAAAGTTCAGTTTGTTGTATGTAATGTGGCTTCCTCAAACCAGTAATCACAACTTTCCAGGCTATCAAAACTAATGCTTTTAGAAATTCAGCCTTGATCCTTCTGGATAATTTTTCCAGTAAAAGGGTCTTGGGGAATTCCATTTTTCCTGGACTTTTTTTATTCAGTCTTGCAAGTGTAAAGTTGAAGTTCAAAATAAGAAATGCCTCACTTAAATATGGGGTTACGGATTAATAAAAATAGCCTATCAAAAATTCCTTTTTAGGTTGTCTCCTCCTCTGCTGTGGCCCAGTGACTCTGCTGCAAGACAACTAATTTTTTCATTTGGTAGTTGCCAGCTATTCAGCAGTTGCTCCTGTATCTGTAAATAGTGTCTCTGAGCACTCTGATCTGCTTCTCTTTTATGTCTGTTTTTATTTTTCTCTTCTTCTTACCTAACCAGACTAGCAAAGGCTGCTCAGGGCTAGAATTCAACATGTCTTAAATATTTCACAGAACAGTATGGTGTGGTGGAACATGCTCCTGGCTTCCAAATAATAAAGTCCAAAGTAATGGTGCTGTGAGCTGCCTGGTTAGCTTGTCTTCTCCTTTGTGTTCCCTCTGTTCCTAATCACACTGTCACAGTACTTTTTCTGAGGAGTAGTGGAGCAACTTCCTTGTGTTAATTATGTCTTGAGAGATCATCAGGGCAGTTGTTTCAGTCTTCTCCAGCCTTGTTATTTCACTAAGTGAGTTTTGGTTTGCTGTAGAGCATCCATCCCCCTGGCTGCCTTCAGCTCCATGTCTCTGGCAGGCTGATGAAGTCGGTCAATACAGTTGATGATCTCTTGTGATTATTGTTGAAGTGCGTATTAGAGGTCAGAGGGCTGTCACTGAATCACAGAATGGTTGAGGCTGGCAGGGACATCTGCAGATTGTCATGTCCAAACTTCTGGCAGGGTCACCTAAAGCAGGCTGCTCAGACCATGTTCAGATGAAGATTGGAGCACAAAGGTATGAGTGGAGAGAAAGGAATCCCTTTTCTTGTGTAGGTTATGCCGAGTGTGATGCTTCAGTATTTCAGTTGTATTTTTGCTGTTGTTATACAATTTCAAAGTTTTTTAACTCTGGGTTCCGACAGTTACGTAAGTGGTTTGTGTGACCACAGCAACTAAGTTACACATGGTTTCAAAACTGTTCCCTATTCATAACTGCTAACTGTTTTGGTTATTTGTTTGTTTTCCTGAAGTGTTTCCATTTTGGTGCCAAACTGAAGGACACTTCTATGAGTTATACTGAAGTGGAGGGAAATCCTACTCTTGTAGAAGTTTTTTGTGCCAGAAATGTAGTAGAGAGCACAGTGCCAAAGGTCGGACTGACAAGTGCACTTTTGCTAGGCCTATTCCCAGAAATTACTCAGTATGCTTTTAACTGATACAAGGATGAAGTCACCAGTTTGGTAAAAACTTCAGTCTACTCACTTGAGCGTGTGATTGTTGTAACAATGTCTTTCATAATAGCTTTTTTTTAATGTAGGTTTTAGTTTTTCTTACTCCTCTAGATGTACATTTAGCAGCTTTTAGCAGCATTTGCACTCTTTACTCCTCAGTGTGTTCACTGTGATCTCTTTGCAAAAAGAAAAGGATTCTTGGCTCTCTGGAGAAGATTTTAGCTTCACCAAGCTAGTACTGTTCTAACTGGGCTGGAACAAACGGAATTCTATGTGCAGAGATGTTTTGCCTCACACTTTTTGGCATCAAATGTCCTAAACTATTTGAGGTGTTTTTAATATGTGCTTACGGGCTTTTTCTCACAGTTATATTCAGGATAAGGTTATAGCAAGAGTTGTTATTAAAAAATCAGTATACTGGGGAAAAAGTAGGAAGTTTCTATTCATTAGTCAAGCATCTGGAGCTAAGCTGGCAGTTGTCACTATAGCTAGTCTAGGTGTGCTTAGTGTTTTTTATTTACTGTGGGAAACGAGATTGCTGGGATGTAGACAGCAAAGTTTATGCTTATACCCTCTTTGGCAGGTATGTGCTTCAGGTGTAGTTGTGCAAGGGGAAGTCCCCACTTCATATTGTCAATAGGTCTAATACGACAAGGATTTGCACACTGAGCAATTTGGGCTGGGAGATCCATGTGGAGAAGTAATCTTGCTGTGCTTGGATCATCTGGCTTGGAGCAGGACTTGTGTCAGTGGGCCTGCCAGGCCGTGGTAGCAGCAGTTGGCAGATCTGGTTGTCTCTGACCTGGCCATGATTTATCACTCTGGCTGCAGAGGCTGCCACAGTTGTTATTTCTGTATAAGCAAATGTTTTGGCACATCAGGCTCTCAAACTGCCAGCTTAAGTATAACTTGGATGCTGTGTTACAAAGAGTGGTAGTGTTGGCCAAGTGAGATGCTGTCTGGATGCCGTGCTGTGCAATCCTTGGATATGTGATTCCCAGTAAGGATCACTGAAAATACTGTTCTACTGAAGCGGTTTTTTCATCCTGGAGGTGCAGGTGGGATGTAAGTTGTTCATCCTGATCATTTCAAACTGTCCTAACAGTGACCACGCAGTATGTGCATAGCATAAGAGGTCAAGTAATGACAGCATGTAAGCCTTTAACTGCAAATTGACAGGATGTTCTTGTTTATGAAAGCTGCTCAGCCTCTGGGAGTCTGTGGCTGCCTTGTAGATGAATCAACAGCGAGGGAGCACAAACACTACTTAAGCTGCCATCTGAGTATGAAAATGGGTCAGATAAAAACAGCAAGTCACAGTTCACTGAGTGAGGGCTTGGTCACTGAACACAGTCTTAGATGTTGCCTCTAATGTCTTCCTGTATCTGTGTCACTAAGGGAAAAACTACAAGTGAGGCCTAGAGTCACTCCTCAGATTGTTACACATGCTGGAAACCTTGCCTGTGGTTCCAAAAGCTTAGAGCAGTGATCCGAGAGACTGCTTTCAGTTAATGGAAAAGCTGTTTAGTTTGTATTTTGGGTTTTCTCATACTTCTTCACAGTTGCTCAAGGAAGACACATGAATAGTCTGGCTGCTTGGAGATGGTTGAGCTCTAAGTGTTTTTTCCTTGTGAATTTGCAGGAAAAGTGTCATCCTAGAAAAAACAAAGACAGGTATAGGGACTGATAAAGTTAAATTGCCTTATTTCAAAAATTAAAGTTGTGCTAAAAAGCCTTGGTATTTCACCATGTTTTCTTTAAAGTAGAATGGCTTTGGTTCATTGCTTTGCCTTTGTGACCACTTCTGTCCAAATGCTACTTACTTCTTGTATGTCTAAACCTGGATTGTAGTTTGTCTTATTTGTTCTAAAGCTGGGTAATTTTAAAAATCTGTTTTCACTATGACAAAAAATGATGGATCTTTTTATAGAGATAGAATACAGTGTTCAGGAGAGCTTCAGCATCCACTTGTGTAGGAATAGTGTTATCACAAAGGAAATTAAGATAATGGTCGCATTGATGTCAAAATCTGGTGCGTTGTGGTTTTGAGGGGGTTTCCCTTTAAAGTTTTTTGTTGGGTTTTGGTTTTTTTTGTCTTAAGACTTACGGGCTAGAATTTAGGAATTAAACTCTGACCAAACTCCCTAAACTAAGCTGAGACACTGAAGTCCAAAAAGCTTCAAACTCCATTTGTGTTACTATCTGGTGTAGATGCTGCAGTAGAGATAGAACAGTTCCCAAATACAGCAATGTGAGCCTGAATTGCAAGTGTGAGATTTGTGAGTTGTGGGGATTTTTTCTTAAAACAATTTCTGCTTCTGATTTCAGGGCCTTTCAGTTACCTTGATGATGTCCCATTTAAGATAGGAGACAAGTTCAAAACCCCAGCAAAGGTTGGACTGCCCATTGGTTTCTGTCTGTCTGATTCTTCTCAGCTTGTCAGAGAAGCCCAGGTAAGTGATATTTTGCCTTCCTGTTCTCTTTCTCCTCACCCCTGGTCCCAACCAGTGGTGCTGTACATTCCAAGTTGTCACAGTATGCACACACACAGTCTTGTATTTCTAGAAGATCTGTTGGGCTAATCGAAGGTAAAATATGATGGGGTCATGCAAAAAGCTTCTCATTTTTACTGCCTTAAAAAGCCATTGGGCTTTTATTTTTAAGCATTTGTTTTAGTCTGTTTGCTTCAAAGAAGCACAGTGGTTTTGTGTAGTAGTTAGTTCTAAATGTTACCTTGATGAAATTTGAATATAATTTTTAAGGAGAAAAATCCTAAGAACTGATACACCCAGGCAATGGCATATTTTTCAGTTCTTGTTTTCTGTGTAGTTCTTATGTGTTCTTCTGTGTAGTTCTGAGTGAGAATTCTTTCTAAGCTGTGGGGCAAACAGGTTACAGCGTGGTATCATCCAGGTACATGCATGGCTTCCCTATCTTGAGGAGCATGTTCCTGGTAAGATAAACTGTTAGTAGCATAAAATCAATTGCTTTAGCATAACTGTTGGAAATCTAATTGCCAAATGCAGGTTATGATGCAGGGAGTCTAATTGAATTACGTTTTCTCATTTGGATCCATGATTTTCCTTGACCAGTCTCAATTGATAATTGTTTTTACTTTGTGACAGATTGCTGTAGGTAGTTCTGCTTTTTTTTCTTGCTGTTTTTGTTTTCTCCCTGCTATACATTTTACAGTGTTATCCTACTTCATGGCTTTTCACTCATCACCATTAAACGATTACCTGATTTTCCTAGGACCCATATTTCCACTCAGTTAAGCTGGTGTGGGACAGCCAAAGAAGATGTCCTGTTGCTGTCTTGATTGTGCTGTGTCTCCATTTTACTGCCAAGCTGGGGCTCAGCCAGCATAGTGTGCCTGTTCAGACTGCAAGACCCTGCACAGTGTGGACTGTGCATCTCACAGTGGAATTTCACTCTTTTTACAGCTGTAGTGAGTGCTGTTAAGAAGGAAGACATGCAGGAAATATAGTTTCCTACCCATTTTTTTAGTATGAAAAAATATGTGGATATTTAAAGATAGAGTTAGACACCTCAGAATTTTGCCCTTTACAGCTAAGCCACTCTGTGTTCAGTACACTGGTAGTGAGTAGATGTCTCCCTGTGCTGATCTGGCCTTAAAGGACCTGATGTTAAATGGGAAAAGCTTTTGAGGTCCTGTCACATCAGTAACTACAGTAAAATCTAGTGCTGCCTATACAAGTTGTCATTGGTGTAGCCACTGTATTCCCTTTGGCTGGTGAGGCACTGCACTGGAGTGGGAATGAAAATACTGCCTTAAACCAAGGGAGTAACACTATCTCAAGTCCCTTAGGAATCTTTTAGAGGAAACTGAGTCATACTGTACTGGCCTTTGAATGCACAATTACTCTGCTGAGTGACTTGTCGAACTTGTGGACTGGGGATAGCTTGGTGGTGCCACATCAGAGTGTGATTATTCATCTAATAACTCATTAGACATCCCCTTGCTGCTTCCCTTGTCGTGGGGGAAGAAGGTGGGAGGGCTGTGAAACTGATCTTGGGATGATGAGCAGTTCTAAAACAAAGCCAAATGTAGGAAGGAGGCAAAATACAGTACTCTAATTCAGGTTGCAGCCAGATTTTGCTGTTAGTGGCAAAATTAAGTACTTTTGGTGTCTGCCAGCTTTGTCAATCTGCAGGTTGTGAAAAAAATATTGCTGTTCCAGGTAATTAATGTAGCTCTTACTCTCTTTGTGTTAATTTATGTTGGTGTTAGAAGTAGCAGGTATGATTCTTATAACTTACGGTTTGGTTTGTTGTTTGTTTTTTTTTTTACTTCGCCTTTTCTGTTTTCCCCTCCACCCCTATCCAGTATGACTTCTCACTGGAAAAGAAAACGATTGAGTGGGCTGAAGACATCAAAAAAATTCAGGCTGCCCAGAGAGAAGCTGAACGCAAGGCAGAAGAAGCTCTAGCAAACTCAAAAGCAGCTCCAGAGGACAGCACCAGAATGGGGTTCTCAGAGGGACCTTGTCCTGAAGCCATGCCTCCTCCTATTAACCCCATCCTCGCTAGCCTGCAGCACAATAACATTCTGACTCCTACCCCAGCCAACACCAGCTCTGTGAAGCAAAAGGTCCTCAGTCCACCTCGACCAAAGGCAGATTTCAACCCAGCTGATTTTGAATGTGAAGAAGACCCATTTGACAAACTGGAATTAAAAACTATTGATGATAAGGAGGAATTAAAAAATATCCTTGAAATTCACGTTGGTACTACTGGGCCAATTGTTGCCCAGCTGTTAGATAATACTTTGCCTAAAGGAGGATCTGAGTCTGTGTTGCAAGATGAGGAAGTTCTGGCATCCATAGAAAGGGCCACGTTGGACTTCAAACCCCTTCACAAACCCAATGGCTTTATCACTTTACCACAGTTGGGAAACTGTGAAAAGATGTCCTTGTCTTCCAAAGTGTCCCTTTCCCCCATCACTTCAGTGAGCAATATCAAATCCCTGTCATTCCCTAAGCTTGACTCCGATGAGGGTGATCAGAAATCATCAAGGCTCACAAGCACTTTCCACAGCACTACCTGTCTCCGCAACGGCACTTTGCTTAGCTCTTTGCAGACCTGTACTCAGAGTAAAGCCAGCGAACTGAATGGACACCATGTGCTTGGTCTTTCCGCTCTAAATGAGGACAGTGGCAGGGAGACATTATCCTCTTCATCCAGGCTGTCTTCTCTGGCTGTTTCGACTGTTTGTACAGAAGAAGAATCATCTCAAAACACATCGACTACGGTAAACATGGAGTGGAACTGGGGTTGCTGGTGAGAGGTGGAGGTGCAGAGGCAACTCTTGCCTCTAAATTGCCCCTTTGCTTTGGTTATAATTTAATTTACTAGGAGTGAATTGTACAGCCTTTTAATTTAAGTGGCATACTGATGAATCCAGCAGGTCTCTCTGGTGATAGTTCTCATCCTCAGATTATTACCCTGCATTTTCCCCCAAATTTGACATTTTTAGACCAATTCTAGTGATCTTTCAGCTTTTCGATTCTTATTTGTTGCTGATAGTTGCACACCTTTGAGCTAAGCATATAAGGCATGTTCTGTGTACAGTCCTGCATTTTGTCCTACCCAGATGAGATATATCAGATTCTGAAGTGCTGTTAGGCTTTGAATCAAATCTCTTCTGGTTTTCTTCCTTGGTTTGCTTGTTTATTTGCCGGAAATAATGGGAGATGCAGGCTTCTCAAGGAAAAGAAGTAATAATAGGTTAAAATACACTGATGTGCTGTGTCATTCAGGGAAGAAAGAAGTGCTTGTGGTTGACCTGCAGTGAAGTACGTTTGTTTTTTTTTTTTTTTTAAGTTTCAATTTCTTCCTGAGATCCTTTAACAACCTAAACGTTAATGGGAAAAATAATTATAGTGATGTGAAATCTCATATTCAGCCTTTCTTGTGAAGGAGAATGGAATCAGTGCTTAGTGGAAACTAAAACCAGCCTTGAACATCATCTTATATTTTTAATGTTACAGTTGGTCACCATACAGTTCTGAGATGGGAGATTGACTCTTCATTTCCTCAGTCTTGTTGCAAGTTCTAAAATTACTTTTAGGACAGTAACGTCACATCTGGTGTTGGTTTTGTCTCTTTGTGAATAAGAACAGAGATTAGAGTAAGCTTGTGAGGTTTTTTTTACAAAGAACCGCAGATCTGGATACCAGTACTCATGAACTGTAGTGAAAGCTGTGCAGTCAGATCCTCCAGCTTGTTCTAAAATAATCTGGGTTTTTTTTCTCTGTCCGATATAAGCAGTGTTTCAGTGATTCTGTGGCTTTAGTGGCATACTGAAGGTTTTTGTGTGACACCATGTGCTCTGAAACAAGTGATGCTGCTTCTCCCTCCCCTTTTGTCCTCACAGCTCTTTTCAGGGTTAGGTAAATGCACTTGTAATTGTGAGGTATAGTGTATCTGACAGAGCACAGCAGAACAGCTGTTTGTTGATGACTGGAACAAATTAAATACTTTTAACTTTGGCAGTGTGCTGAGCACCTGCTCACTGCTGCAGGTCACAGGTGTGAGAGGGGCCTATATGACCTCAGTTAGGGACCACATAGCATCTCTGGGGAGGAAAGATCCCTTATGACTAGATAGATTGGTATTAAGATACCTAAATTTACACTCAAACTATTCAAATCTCTCTGCTGAATTAAATTTTTTAAAGACCAAGAGGAAAAGTGTATTCTTGACAATGCTCTAAGGGAAGACGCAAACTGGAAAAAAGTGTAGACTTACTAGGAGAAGTAATAAAATTAATTAATTAATTTAAGACTATTTATGTTTTGGAAGTAATGAATCAAGAAATAATTAAGATGACAGAACTTAGTTCTCTATGTTTAAAATACAAGACTTCAGATTATACTTGTTTTGTTTCCACAGTGTAGTTCCACTGGAAAATGATGGCTGATATGCAAGAAATTTAAGTAAATGCAACAAAAGAATTTAAGTAAATGTAACAAAAATCCTCAGAGTATGAAAACAGTAGAAAGAAGTCATCTCTGTGGCTGGCAGCAGAAGGCTCATATCTCAATATATTCCGTAGTGGTTTTTTTCTTTTCTTTTTTCTCACAAGATTAGAAATTGTGACTTTGAATTTGCAGTTGCCATGGGAGTTTTTGCTTTACCACTGAATTGGATCTGTGGTTTCTCTGAGGGTGCGTAAGTTCTGTGGTGGTCCCCTCTCCTCACTTTTGTTTTTTCTTGAATCTCAGTATGTTGAGTTTTGCTGCTTTAGCGGAGGTAGAAATGACTAATGAAGACAGCAGGCTGAAATTAAACTTAAGTATATTGAGTAGGAGCAGTTGACTTTCCCAGACTGTTAAATTTCTGGTGTCAGAAACAGTTTTGGTTTTTCTGGCTGCAGTGTTGATAACAAAGCATTGTCCTTCAGTTTGATAACCCACTAGCTGATTTCAGGGCTATTTTCCCTATTTCAATGTATCTCATATTCCAGTGATTTTTGTCCTTGAAAAAGTGTCTGGAGAAAGGATATGTGTAAGGAACATACCGTGAGAAGAGATTCTTTGATACCCTAGTGCATCAGAACAAATATGATGCTGGTTTTCTAGAAGATAAATTCTTAGCCTGGAAGATGTTTAGGAATGCAGAACAAAATATCCTTGGTGGTGGTTTGGGATCTTTTTGTAAATAAATGGAATTTGTCAAAATCGTAATAGATCTTTTCAGAATTGGTTTTCTATAGAGGGTTTTTTGTTGTTCAGTTTGAGAACTACGAATGCCGTTCTGAAGGATGTGTACAGGCTTTCAAGCAATCTGTGATGGCATAATAATATTAAGAAATGCTAAAAACTGTGGTTCTTGGTCCACAGTCATTTCTTACAGTCTGTTCTAACTGTTTAAAATGCAGGAGTTCTAAATGTATTGAACTGAAACGTGCAGCTGTGGTGGGGCCGAGGCCTGACTGCACTGCTGTTAACTTGGGCGAGGTTGTACAAAGTGGTGGGGTGGTTCTGCAGAAGCAGAGCAGGTGCACAGCAGGGGACATGACCCAGCCTTGCTGGTGTGCTGGGAGTGGGATGAGTGCTGGGTAGAAAATTCACGTGCTCTTTGGAGCCAGGATGGCCCATGTTCCTGTGTGGAGTTCTGAGGACAGAGCACTGAATGGAGTTCAGTGCTTCGGGAATAGGAAGGTGGTGTACTTTCTCCTACCCCTTCACATAGTCAGAAAGTCCAGAGAAGTCTTTAGGCAATGACTTCAAAATTATCACTGCTATTCAGGCAACGCAGACTTGGTCAGGAAGTGAACTGGGGATATGTGAACATGCAGCTGTTAAAGTGACAGAATAAATTTATAATCTTATAAATATTGTGGGGGTAAACATATCCTTCTTGGAGTGTGATCCATATGTAGGTGCTGAGAGGTGGGATGATCCTGATGATGTATAGCTGCAGGCAGCGGGTAATGTCAGCATCTCATGTGGAAGCCTGATCGGACCCTAAAATCTCCCATCCTGTGGTAGAATCTTCTATAAAACCCTTCTCCCCCAGCTGTCGCAAATTCTGGTGACTGGTGCATGATGTTTATGCTTGATTTGTGTGTTGTCCAGCAGGTACACCCAGACTACCAGGAAACAGAAATCCCTGTGGTAAGTTTCCAAATACACCTGTGTGCTTGCTTGCATTGAATCATGTTTATGGTAATCTTGATAAGTGGTGTACCTTTGAGTACAGAAAACCATAGGTGATTAGTAAACCTGAGGTGAAGGAAGCAGTCTGTGCTTCCTTTGAGGTGCAGAGTTTGGCTGTATCCCAGCCTTCACTGTTGCAGGGCTTAGGTGTTCAAAGGCTTTGTCATACCAGTTAGGAGAGGGTTCATTGTGGAGAATCTGGATTGTTGATTGTTGCTTTAAGGGTTAAAAGAATAGGGTGGGAATCAGGCTACTTGGTTTCATCCTCACAGTGTGTAACTTCCCAAGGGCACTCTAGAAAACCTTTTGGATTAATTGCATGGGGTATCATGGTTCTGGCACTAGGCAGAAACAGGATGTGGGGATGCAGGAGATGACCATCACCTCAGCTTCTGGGTTTTCCCTCTTAGGTAACACACCAAAACTTCGCAGTGTCTAAAGTGCCCAGTAACAGCAGCTGCACAAAGCGGCCGGGTGGTCTCACGGCCGAGCTGCAGCAGGGCCTCTCCCCCAGCGAGAGGCACTGTGTGGAGACCGTGGTCAACATGGGCTACTCGCCTGAGAACGTCCTGAAAGCCATGAAGAAGAAAGGACAGAACATAGATCAGGTAAGAGCTCATGCGTTGCAAAGAAATGCTTGATTGCTTGCTGGTTCTGCTGGGAAGCCATCTTGGGTTTGCAAAATGGGTGGGGAAATACTGTGTCTCTAATAGGGGGTTGCAACCTACATCTTGTGCTTTATTTCTGGTGAGAGACTGCTAGAGTCAGCCACACCTGCACGTGCTGGGTTGGAGCCACGCTGAGTTTGGGATGGGCCCTTTGCTCTATGTGAAACTGGAGGGAGAGATTCTGAGTCTCCCCAGGAGCCACAAACACATCCAAAGGAAGATTAGCATGGCTCTGTGCCGTGTTTAGAGCCATGTGACAGAAATCCAGCCAACTTCCCTTGTACTGAGCGTGAGGGTTTACAATGCTGACATCTCTCATTGTAGAGAGACTGCTCCTGCAAGGCCCCACTGACCGACTTGTGTGTGCCCTGTGCTGCCCCTTCCTGCTCAAGTGCTGCCTCCCACGCCTGCTCAAACCAGGTCACTGGGCACAAAGTGCTGCTGGGCAAAGCGTGGCTCTTCTTCAAACAAACACTTCAGTGTGGGAGAATGTGGCCCAACTTCCCGTGCTGGCCCTCAGCAGGCTGTGTGCTGCACAGAGCATGTCCCAGGGACTCCTGTTTGTGGGACTGATCTGCTGGCCCTCTCCCTACACACGGAGAATGGCTTAAGCTGTGCATTGGCGTGAACTGTGGTATGAAGTGGAAAAAAAGGTCCCTTAATAGGGCAGTTTTAAATCTTGCTCTACTTGCAAGCTCTGTTCTTTCACATACCTGACTTACCTGACCCTTCCCCTTAAAGCTGAGGATGGATAAGAAATTTGGCAGCAGTTTGTGTGTGTGAGCTGGGATTTGCAGCTCACTTGCTAGTATGCTGAGTTGATCTTCAAAGGCTGACTGCTCTCAGATTGCATCAGCTCTTGTGGCTGTCTGAGAGGAAGCTGAAAGCAGACATGTCCTGACTGGTGGACCTACAGTTTCATTTTTAGAACTCGTAGTATAAAAAGCACAATGCAACTTTTGCTTTGCCGTCAGAGGGCTAAAGATACACTTCCAAGGCTGCTTTGACTAGAACGAAGGGGATGGTCAGAGAGCACAGCAGGACAGAAGGGTTTGTCTGCTTTTTCTGCACAAGCTCTTGTATAACGAGTATCTCAACTCTTCTAGGAAGGACTGTATCTCTGTCCCTGGTGAAGCCCTGGGCAGAATCATGCTCAGCCTCCCGCATGTACCAAGGTGACATTTAAATGCCTGCTGCAAGTGCCTCTCTGCAAACACAGTTTTTCTTCATTCCCCACAGGTTTTGGATTACCTGTTTGCACATGGACAGCTTTGTGAGAAGGGCTTTGATCCACTTCTTGTTGAAGCAGCTTTGGAAATGCACCAGTGTTCAGAGGAGAAGGTGAGGGTTCTATGTGTGCAGGAGTAGAAAAATGTGCTATGACAGGGAATTCCAGCAGCAGTTACTCTGGCTGATGTAATTCTGGCTTTCTTGGTAATGCTGCCTTGTTTCCAAAACTGATTGCCAAAAGACATCTTTGTGTTGATAAAACTAAAAATTGTTAGAGCATTAGAATTTGTCTGTGCCGTTCTGTTAGTCTAATTTGCATCCCTTTTTATGGGGACAGGATTTTTTTAAAGACCCTGATTATTGTGGTCATACTGTTGTAAATGCCCAGAGTTTTCTTGTGGGTGAGGTGCTTACCTTCAGCAGCAGCCAGTTCTTTCAGACCTTGCCAGCCTGCCCTGACCATGAATTTTCTCCCTTGTACAAGTGCATCTATCTGCCTGGCTGCTCAGCAAATTGGGTTAGGGGCTTGCTCTGGAAAAAGACAGAAAACGCATGTTTTGGCGTCTGCTTCATTGGCTGCTTTACCGAAGCACCAAAGGTACAGCAGGAGTGGGTAGCAAGGGCAGAGGACAGGAAGATCTTTTAAAGTCTGCCAGCTTATCGTGTGACAGATTATTACGTGAAGTCTTTAGAGGTGCAACCCAATGCCCTCAAATATGGATATGCCTTCCTGTCTTTCTTGGACAAGTGATAATCTTGTAAACAGAGCAATAGGACTATGAGGATGGAAAGTAACTGAGATTGAGAAACCCATTTGCTATTAGCTCAGCCCCACAATTGGAAATGGCTCCTGTCCTGCTTGCCCATTTCAACCTTCTTGTTTGGGATTTTTCCCTCCCCTGGAGTAGAGCAGATCAACTGTAAATGCCAGTGGGTTCATAAGAGCGATCAGCTGACTCACTTCTTGCCATTTTATATTTCAAAGCTCAGGGAGGATTCACAGTTTATATTGGAAGTATCATATGTACACAGTGGGGTTTGTGCTAATGCCCCAAGTTTGCCCTAGATCTGAGAAGCAAATTGATAGCAAGGGCTACTGCACTGTTCCCAAAGTCCAAGTGACTTCAAAAATCTCAGGTGCAGCAGGAGCTGCTAGATGGGGCAGCTGGGTGCCACTAATGAGCATTTTTGGGATCCCACATTGGGCCAGACTGATAAATATCCTTCTGTGAGAGACACACCTCTGCAGACTGAGCTTTGGTGTGCTGGTTGAAGAGGGTTTTGGAAGTGAAGGATGGCAAACAGAGGGGACTGAAGGTCCCTGTGGCTGTTGTGCCCAGAGCTTTGGTGGCTCTGGTGTGAGCAGACTTTCTGCCAACAGAGCTGGAATGGGCTGTGCTTGAGGAGGAGGAATCCACAATCATGGCATGCCCAGCTGCTGAAGGCAGGCTCTGTGCTAAACCTCTACCAAGCATTGATCCATCTGCTTTTCTCTTGCAAATAATAATGTCTGTCTTTCAGATCACAGAACTTCTCCAGTTAATGAGTCAATTTAAAGAAATGGGCTTTGAACTAAAAGACATTAAGGAGGTCTTATTATTACACAACAACGACCAACACAATGCTTTGGAAGATCTAATGGCCCGTGCAGGAGCCAGCTGAAGACACATTCCTGGATTCTTGGCGTGCATTGGAGCAGGACCAGCCCCACCACCTTCGTATCCAGTGTGACTTGCTCTCAGTGGGAAGGAGTCCAGCTTTTTGCATAAAAGGGAGAATGACTGAGCAAGCCTGCCTGCGTGCATCACTCCAGCATTTCTCTTTCCACTGAGGGCCAGCTTTCATTCTTAAATTAAATTTTAAAGTGTCCTTTCCTAAGTTTCCTTTTTCCAGCTTGGCCACGGAAAGTTGAGACTGCCCAGCCTCGACTGGAATTGTACATAGGTAGAGTTGGAGTGGTTCCCCCTCATTGTTGCACTGGAGTTGGACAGAAGAATATTAAGTTGGTTCTGAAACTAGGATGCTTTGGTTCTTTGAAGCTGCTTTCATGGTGTCTTGTCTGCTTGTACTGAATTACTTGACTGTGTCACAGTCCGGATTACCTGGTTAAATTTGACCTTTAGTGCAATGGAGTTTTATTTTTTGGTTGAAAGTTAGTCTGTAACTTAGTAAAACACTGGTTCAGAAACTGTCACTATGCATAAAGAGAGAACCTTGTTTTGTCCTCTTGGTTTTTGTTTTTTACCCATGCATCCAACACTTCTGCCAGACACGAGTGTCCAGTGCTGAGTGGTAAGTTCTCTTGAAGCAGATAAGCTGTGAACTCAACCTGGACCTGCAATTGTTTTGGTTCTTGAACCTGAAGGCAGAGAGCTGGGGCTCAGTATTTTCAATCCCCTGGGCTTGTAGGATATTTAAGACAATGCCCTGCTAGAAAGTCAGTTATCTTTTTGTTCTAAATAATACACAGTGTGATGCAGGAGGTTTCTTTCAAGCACTTTCTTTAAAACAAATATACTCACTGCATTAGTTCCATTTTTCACACTGCTATAGAATTACATAATAATAACATCTAGTACTACAAATCAGGTTGGGGTTGTTTTTGATAGTTCAAAGTATTACATTGTACATTGATCAAGTTCTGAATACATGAAATATCAGCAATCTTGAGGAATCTCTAATTTGCTAAATATTTTGATTCTGCAGAAGAACAACTAATAAAACCCTGAAATGTAACTCCCAGTGTCATGGTTCCCATCTCTCATGCTCTTGGCTGTATAGCAGAGGAGGAACTTGCTGGATCCTGCCCACCCAGGTGCTGCCAGCTCCTATGGGCACGTGTGAACACTGTTGGGCAGAACAATCAGAGGTCCCTGGGCTGCAGCTGCAGTGGTGGAAGTTGCTGTGCTTCTCTGTGGCTTATTTTTGTTTTATGTAAAAATCCCAGCCTAGGGATCCAGACTCACATTAGAGCCTGGAGCTGGAGCATTGGACTGCTAGAGGGAAAAATGTCTCAGCTCGTTGCATCAACCTATGTTTTTCAGTAGGAGGTTTCAGCTCATCAGGACTCCAAAGGAGATGGCATTTGTCTCCATTATGTTGTTAACTTTCTATGACCAAAACGTTTAATTTGGGCCCAGTGTGCACTCCTGGAATTCTCAGTGGGGTGCCCAACTGTGTGAATTGCACACATTTATTCAAAATGATGCAGGAGAGGGATCTGCTGGCAAGTGTCCAGGAGATGTGGAGAGGGATGATGAGGATGAGCAGGGCAGGTTGCCTTGCACATGTCCCATAGTGTTGACCTTCACCATTTTCTAGTGGTGGAACTGAAATGAAGCTTGTCTAAAAAGGACATTCAGCAGCTGTGAGTGCAGGTAATGGCCAGCTTTTCTTCTTTCCCAGGTGAGAAATGCAACAGTGAAGTGAGGAAATGGGGTTTCTGATTAATTGGAAAACCTTGAAAACAAAATTCCAACTGCTTTACTGTCACTGCTGAGAGGATTCAGTTGTGCTGCTTGTTCTGGTTTTCTCATAATTGCTACCCCAGTGAGTTCCTGTCTGGTACCACACAGTCCTGAAGGGGCAAGAAGTCTTTGCCAGCAAAGAAACAACTATTTAGACCAAACCTCTGAATAAAATAATCTCTGATTGTATTAGTGTGTGTTGTTTTTTCACCCTTCCCCTCCAAGGTCTGTCTCTTAACCCCATAGAATAACCACTCTGCTTTTGGAGCTCTTGTGGAGGTGAGAGCAGAGTGGTGAAATGGGAAGTAGCAAGGTCTTATTTCAGAGAGCTGTGCCCACCCGGGTCTACCCTGGTGACACTGCTCCTGCTTTGGCAGTGACATTTCTGGATTAAAATCATTGGGTGGCTGAAGGCATGAAGTGTATTCCTGTGTTGGCATTTCAGAGAAAAAAATACCAGAGTGAGGGGATTAAGGGGGTGGCTTGGAGAAGAGGAATTGCTGAATGAATGTGTAACAAGAGATCCAATGTGACCAGAGTTCAATGTGCAGCACTTGTTAATCTGGTACTGTTCTGTCCAGGCACAGTTCATTGTGGGTGTGGGGAGGTCCTGCTGGCTGGAGCAAGGCTGGGCTCCGCCTTGCTGCTGGCTGGTGAGATTGGCTGCACCCCTGGTCACACTTGCCACCTTGGAGCTTTTCCTGAGGCTGTCAGGTCACACTGATTTATGTCCCTGCTCTGCCTTTGTCACAGGTTCTGTCTGAGATCTATGTGCCTGGGTGGGAAGGCCGGTGAGAAGTGTAGAGGCAGAACCTAAACTGGTGGTTTAGCTTTCAACAGGAGCATCTTCGAGCTGCCTCCTGCTGGTTCTGGGCTGCAGAGCCGTCCTTCGCTCCTGTGGCAGCTGAGGACTCCTGATCCTGCAGTCGAGCAGTGGAAGCTGCAGCTGCCCCAGTGCCCCAGGGCTTTTTTATTGCCCGGCTTTGTGGCTCCTGCCCCAAAAGATCTGCTGGAACACAGAACCTGTGTCAACAGCTTTCTGTGGCTGCTCTCTAGGCCAGGAAGGGTCATTCTGGCTGTGAGTCAGGGCTTCTGAAACTCCACACCAACAAGCCCTGTGAGAAGGAGAGCTCGTACAGATTTCCAGCCTGACTTAATCTTTTGCAGTCAATCAAATGGGCATTTTGATCATGTTTTCCCAAAATGATTTTTACCAGAGTTCTGTAGCAAATTGAATTTTATTTTAAATTCCATCAACTGTTGAAATTAAGTATTAAGCCTCTGCTAATAAGCATTAATAGTCATTGTTGCATCTGAATACAAAAGTGAATTCATTTTAGTTCTGTGTTTATTTGATTGTACATGGCCAAGCTCTCTCAATCTCTTAGATTGCTTTTATGACACTTTAACACCTGTTTGTCAAGTTGAAGGAAAAACCTTTTGTAGCAGTAGTCAGAAATATCAAACAGTAGGAAGGGGATGACACTTTAAATGTTCATTTAGCACATTTTCACACAAGAATTAAAGCAGCAACTAGGTAATAACCCTCAAAGAGGAGAGAAAAATGTTACCATTTCTAATAGCTTGATAGTTTTGTTGCATAGGAGGAACCCATTGTTGGTATCTTTAGGGTGAGCAGCACTTCAAGTACGTCTATTTCATTGCCATGGATGGGCTGATTTTCACAGCCAGATCCTTTATTTCTTTATTTTGGTCAAGTCTCACCTTCAGTCGAGAAAATAAAATTTGGAGAACAGACAAAATATATTTAAGAAGGTGTAGTCATGTGGATTGGCTGGATAATCCCTTTACAAAAAAGATAGTATCAGATCTCCCTCGGAAAATTGTGTGTGGTTATTTTGATTATTTGTTGTTTCTCAGTGGACACTGAGAAACTCCTGGCTGTTCCTCAAGGGAGCAAATAGTTCCTGTTCTGGGAATTGGTGCTGGGGCTCAGATCTGCCAGAGAGACTTTCTTTTTTCACAGTAGATCAGATGGGCTTCACAGGTGGCTCCAATCTGGCAGCTGACTTAACTGTCTGCTTGCAGAAGTTTTTGGTCACTCATCTGTCTTATCACAACTGTGCCTGCAGATACCGAGGTTAGGATATGGTGCTGTTGGTTGTGCAAATGATTCTTGTGTGTTGCTTAGGAATGTCCAGCTTCTGTAAGACACTTGAAAAGCCTATGAACATACTTCGCTCACCTGCTTTTTAAAAACTTGAAAGAGCGATCAACCAATGCTCATCTCCCAAATGTCAGAGTATGTGGAGGGAGAATTTTCCTCCTTTGCACTGTTTCTAACTGGACGTCATATTTTTCTGTGACCTGTGCACACATCCTACAGTCTGATCTTTTCCTTGGTTCCAAATAGACTTGCCAAACTCCTCATCTGCTCCCTGACAGCAGTGTTTGCTGCATGCTTCTGAGAACGTGCTGGGGAAACTTAAGTGCCCACATCTAATTTATGGTATCAGGAAGACTACCCAGCTGCCTCATCTTCCCCTCACCTTACTCATAGGAAAGCTCTCCCTGGCCCCAGGAAGTGGAGGGAATTGCTGGTTTTAAACACTTGCTCCTCCCTGTGTGGTTTTAGCAGAGTGCTGATGTCCCACTGCTTTACAGCTCTCTGGTGGCTGTCAGGCAACACTGCTCTGTGCTATGCAGAAATCCCAACAGTCTTGCTCCTGGGTGCCTCATCTCTCTGGGTGAGTGAGTGAGGGAGGCTTCTGACCCAGGTTTACGTTTGATTTGCTGCTGGCCTGTGTCCAGGACACACAAACCGTTCTGAGAGCCATAACCTCAAACCCCAGAGAAACCCTGCTCTCTGCTCCACAGAGAAATCCAGTCTCAGCTACAATATGGAGACTAACCAGTGCTAAAAACAACCCAACAGTCAGGGCAGGGATATGAGATTTGCTTCTGTTCCCCAGGCCTACACTGGGTGACATTCCTGGGAGTGTTTGCACCAAATATGCATCCCAGAGTGTCACTGCAATTACTGTCCTGCTGCTCAGTCCAACCTGGGCTCCGTAGGGACGCTGTGCAGGCAAGGCAGCAAAACCCACAGCTGGTCAGACAGCAGTGTTCCATTCCCCTTGGCATTTCTGGCTACTGAGCAGGCTTTGAATGAGCTACCACAGGCATTACTGAGGAGACACAGAGATGGATGAATGTGCTGCGACAGCCCTAATTTTGGAGTGGGAGCGCTCACACAGCGCGTTGTCAGCAAGCATGTCTCAAGGTCACTTGTGCCTTCAAAGCAAGTGGACTGGCTTTGTGGTTCAGATGAGATGCATACAGCACTACGGCTTCTGCAGGGCTCCAGCTGATGGCTCCATAGCTCTTGATTCAAATACCAGTTTCACATAACAGTGCTGTCAGCAGCTTCTGGAAGCCCAGTGGCTCCAAGCAGATCCCCTTTTTGTGTGAGAAATCTGTTCAGCTCTGCTCAGTGCAGGCATTAGACGTATGCAGCAGGTACAGCTGCTGGCGTCTTCCTCTGGGTAGCAGCATGAAACCCATGTGCTTATTAATGTGCCAGATGGAATCTTTGGTATGAAGTCCCTGCTAAAACAGTCCTTGTCCATAACTTAAAGCCACCCCTTTCAGGAGCTCTGGAGAGTTCATCACAAGAAGTAATTCAACAATAGGCTTCCTCCTGAAACTGACAGCACTTCTAACCCTGCCTTGACTTCTGAATACTTAAGGTCCAGTCATGTTACTGTAACAACCTCTGGCTCCTCTCTCTTTCCTGGCTTCTGTTTGCAAAGTACAGCAGCTTTTCTGGGTAGCTTTTGAGCATTTCTGTTCAGACCTGTTTCTGGCTTCAAAGCTGTTTCCCTTACTTGGCAACACAGATTTGCCTTTAACATGTGAGAAGCTGCTATGATACATGAACATGACTTGTATGCTACTTGGTGAGATAGATATTTAAAGGCTGCTGAATTGTTAATGTTCAGAATGTAGCTTACTGTTATTAATGAAATACAAAGCTTATGGTGCTAATTAGTCATCTCTCATTTACTCAGAATTCTCTCCATCCTTGTATAGAACACACACTAATCACAAACATCAAACCAAAAGCTATCCCCTACCACCCACACTCTGCAGCACCAAGTGCAGCACAGGCTGGGGTTTCCTGTAGCTGCTCCAGTGCATGTGGAAGCAAAGAAGGTCTAAACAGGTGGAGGTGTTTGCAGTGATGTGTCAGTGCCAGGGGAAGCTAAACAGAGCTGAAGCTGGGCTCGCATCGCCTGGACACACTTTGACTTCAGTACCAAGATTTCATCCAGCATGGTCATGAAATTCTGAAAATCCTGGTGAGGAAGGCACAAGGAAACAGTAGGGAACAGTATCAGCAGGTTGGAGAAAATCAGCATATTTTTTACACTGCAGCAGAACGTAAAAACATTCTGCAGACTAGTAGATTAAATCAGCATTTCCTTATTAAAGTCACAGCCCTCACAGACAAAGGTCAGTGCCTCTAAACATCAAGGTTCACTGATTCTGGTAGTTTTATCTATTGGTGAAATTACAACTCATATGGTGACCTAAAATGTATCAAATAGCTGTTGTTGCTCTTCTACTCTGGTTAGATTTTCAAAGGTTTTGTACTGGGACTGGTCACTCAGTTTTACCATGTACTGAACTCTGTTCCTGACACTGCTCATGCTGGATTTATCAATTATGAAAATAAATGGTGAGTTAGGCCACAATGGATCAGGTATAATATCCCAATCTTGACAGATGCAAGGGATTTATTTCCCATCAGGTCATGGGGCCATGGCTGCAGGTCTGCCATGAGCAATACACTGTCTGTATCCAGCCTCAGCCCAGGGAACTCTACCTTCCATAATCACATGGATAAAAGGCAGTATGGAACTGTGATTAAAACTGAAATGGAGTTTTAATCCTTTTAAAAGTAGGGCTTGTATTAATAAGGGAGCACTTGGATGTGCTCTGCTCTCCAGCTGAGAGTAGTTTGGTGCCTTTGTTCACAGGTCTGTGCCTGAGAAGCTGGGAGGTGTCAGCATCCCCAGGGCTGGGAAATTCAGCTGCTGGGCATGAAAATCAATCACACAAAAGCTTATTTGGCAGTACTCCAGCTGTATCTCCTGCACTGAATCTCTGTCCTGCAGGGAAATCAGGACAGTGATGAAGACTAGCCTAGCTGCTGTGGCATATTT